CTGCCATTGTTGCAGGTTTTCTTGCAACTGCTGTTGTCTCTCTTCTTTTTTCTTTTTTTTTCCTCTAACAACTGTTGTAATTTCTCTTCTCGTTCTTCTTGTTTCTTTTCTTGTTTATTTTCTTGTTCTTCTTGTTTCTTTTCTTTTTCCTCTACCAACTGCCGTAATTTCTCTTCTTGTTTAATTTCTCGTTCTTCTTGTTTCTTTTGCTGTTCGTGTATTGCTGCCATCAAGTCTGCTAGGCTGTGGTTTGATTTTCCGCTTCTCGTTTCCATTTTTTTTTCTGTCCCACTCTCTGACACCAATTTGTTATGTCTCCGCTTGTTAATTAACTTTCCGTAACTTCGTTCCGACGAAACTCAAGCGACACAAGTCCCTTCCCAACAAAACCGGTTTATTCCTTCCGAATACAACCCTACCGATACACTCAACTTCAACAATCGCGCTAAACAAACGCTGTAACGTCTCTCGTGCTCTCTGACTGCAGTTCAATTACTCACTATCTACACACACACATTACCTCCCTCTGTCACGTTGTCACCCTCTTTTATATACCCGACTACCCTATATCTAGTAAATACTAGAGCATTCGCCAAGGTACAGGATAGTTCTAGAAACGTGGCGTCACAGTAGTCATGTGACTCGCTGACGCAACAGTAACATTAACCCTTTATTTATGCTTTGCCGTAGAATCCACGCTCCGACCGGATATAGTTACCTTGGCTACGCCTATACCGCATCACAGGGATTTCCCAAAGTTCTCTATTGGTTATATTTTGTTATTTAAATAACATGAAGAGAAAACCCGCAAATAAGTAATTACAAGCTAGAAAAAAGATGGTAACAAACACTAAAATGATGTTGATTTAGAAGTTGATGTATTCAACAACGTCTCGAGCCTAAGCCCTTCATCATTTAAACAGCGATATACAGCTGCAAAAGCAAAGCTTGCTGGAAAAGCTCAGGATTTACCATAAAACTCCTGTGAAAGTCGTGATTGTTTTAGTATCACCTGATAAAAATCCTAGGCTCGAAAGTTTGTTAAATAAATCTACGCACCTTTTAGTTGTGTAAGTCACATGACAAAGTCACGTGACTATTATATGTCTTCAACAGGATAACATGTTTTCACAGAAGTTTTAGGGTAAATTCTAAGCTTCTGAGCTATACTTTTATAGTTGTATATCACTGTTTAGCCATGACAAACTTGGATAAAAACAAAGATCAAACATTCTCCTACTTCTACAAGATGTTTCCCTCTATATTTCCATAAAAATCAAAATAACTAATGCTTAAGAAGACCCGAGATTTATCTCAGATACATTTAGATTCCTGGATGTTTGTATAATGTGCACTGAATGTAAGTATATCAATACGAATAAATTACGTACCTGAAAGCGGTAGGCCTAAAAATGTCTCGTAAGCTAATTTTGGGAGCTACCAAAGGATTAATAAATATGACATCACAAAGCAAAGGATTCTGCCATGAACTCGTAAACAACCTGTTTTAGTGGATTTGAAACAACGTAGCAAACAATGCAACATTATAACAAAGAATAATATATGTTCCACAACAAATTAAAAACTGCTGCCTTAATGCCGGGTTCAATGCTACCTAGATGTCGCTTTAAAATAATATGTAAATAAATAACATTGGTATATTACGAACAAGAATTAACAAGGTGTAATATCATGTAAAAAATTATACAAAAAACATTACTCTTGTTAAGAAGTAATGTTCTAAGGTAAACAACCAAATTAGTAAACTAAAATAAAAGGTGGTAAAAGTTTATTGTGGATGCAAGCGTAAGGAAAACTAGCAAAATTATATAAAAACTAAGGTTAAAAAAAACAATAAATAGTGTGACAGTAGCAGTTTACTGGTTGTTGCTAGACTGGCTTTGCGCAAGTGATAATAACAGTAATAGGTAAAAAAAGAATTTATATTTTTATTTATATTTCTGATATATTTTCCAAGCAATTTATCAACTTGCTTTCATCGCTCTCGCGAGGTCCTGTAACAGAAAAATTGAAGTGGATATTTGATCTTTACGACATCAACGGAGATGGCTTCATCAGCAAACAGGAGATGTTGCATATTGTATCTTCCATCTACGAAATGCTTGGCCACTACACGGAGCCTGTAGTTCATGAACACTCCGCTAGGGAGCACGTGGAGCGTATTTTTCATGTAAGAAACCCTTTCATGAAGAGCTTTTAGCTAGTTTGTAATTTATCTAATTTATAGCAACTAAAGAATCAGCAGCTGAAAAAAAAAAAGATTAACAGTCTTGTTCATGTTTCATTTATTGAATACAATGTCATTCAAAACGCCTTTGATGTGCTTTTTTTCTAAACTTTAACAAGGTAATGGATGACTTGTATTTGTATTTCTTATTTCAAACGAATCTCATATTCTCACACTCAAAAAGAAAGTTAATACAAATTTCTATTTGTGGTTTCTTTTACAAAACCGATCTATTTTTTTTATTTTTTTGTCAACAACATTTAAATTGAATAAGGAACTCCATAAAAATGCATAATATAGTCGCTGTATATATGTAAATAAATAACATTGGGATATTACGAACAAGAATTAAGTAGGTGTAATATCATGTAAAAATTATACAAAACTATTACTGTTGTTCAGAAGTAATGTTCTTTAGTTAAAAACCTCTAGATGATATATATATATACATACCCTAAAACTTCTACATGATATATATATATATATATATATATACTACCT